AATTGCCGTCCTTACCCTGCACAAACTCTGCACTCGGTATTACATTAGACGCTAATCTTAACTGGGGCCCACATATCGATGCTACTATTGCAAAAATTTCCTCTCAAATATTTGCGTTAAGACAAATGCGACAGTGTCTTGACAAAAAAGTTTTGAAAATGGTTTATTACGCCATAGTTCATAGTCATTTGTCTTATGGAATATTATTATGGGGAAATAGTAGTAAGGCCAATAAAGTTTTTTTCCTCCAAAAAGCAGCTATCCGACTTATAGCAGATGTAGAGTATAGGGAACCTTGTTGGGACCTGTTCAAACGCTACGAGGTGCTTCCACTTCCGTGTATATATATATTAGAAACTTTAAAAGAAATTCATCTAAACATTAATTAATTTGAGACACATGTAGATGTCCACAATCACGACACGCGGAATGCTGGAAATCTCGTATTGCCCAGATCTAGAATTCGTATCAGCCAGTGTAATAAAATTAATGTAAACATTTATAATGTGTTTGTTAACTACTATAAAAGCAAAAATTTTAAATTTATGTCACACACAAAATTTCGCATGTTAGCTAAAGAGTTTCTTCTCAAGCATTGTTTTTATAGCGTTTCTGACTATTTTAATTTTTTTAAATAGTTTTGTGTGTATTAATTTTAATATGTTCTTGTTCTTTTTTTAGTAACTAATATTGATACTCGTTTTAATTATTAATATTGATTTTACTTGTTTTATTATTATTAATATTGACTAACTGTTTTAGTTAATAATATTGACTATCTGTTTTAGTTAATAATATTGACCTTACTTGTTTCAACAAAATTGTGTCTGTATTAAACTAAATTTTATTTTGTATTTGACATAAACCAGACTAATGTAAGCTTTAAATTTTTGAATTTGTTGTTACTCTTGTATTATGACTTCAATGTACTAAATGTATGAAATAGTCAATAAACTACTACTACTACTAAACTTCACTCGTAAAGGGGTGCATGGGCATAGTATTATTATACTTAAAATTGCACAGTTTTTAATACACTAATGAACAAATATTTAATACTTTGATTTATACGTACACTTATCGCAAAAACTCTTTACGCCATAGCATTCCATGGAAAATGTGTATGACCTCGACTTACGCTTCCCTGTGAGCTGTGACTGTCCGGTAGGAAAGACAATTCAAAAATGAAATCGGATTAATCGACTCTTAGTTCGTTGCTGTTTCGGTGGTGATCAGAACTTACTGTATTTAAGCGATCGCTAGCCATAAGTGAATATTTTTTAATCATAAGTAAAGGTTAACTAATGGTAAATATATGTGATTCTGTGGTTATTAAAGCAGTTTCAGAAACATTATTCATTTATTGTAGGCAAAGTGGTGCCTAATTTGAGTATGATTTATATAATGAGAGTAGTTTGTTAAAATTTTTTAACACATCAATAAATCCATCCACTGAGTAAGAATTTCAAACTGCACTTTTATATAATATAAGGTTATCTATCTAACAACAATTTTAGGTAATATTATCATTCTTATAATTAAGCATTAAAATTTTAAACTACACACACTTCTATAAGGTTATCTAATAACTTTGAATGATTAATATATTGTAATGTAAAGAAAATGTGAGCATGATACAATGAAACCATTACACACAATTATCTCTCGAAAACTTTAAAATATTTTTTAAGGCTATAGCGAAGCCAATATAATAAATAAATCTATTGTTATATATGTAAAGAAAAAGGAAACTGACCTTATATTTTAAAGTAAATGCAACAAAAGGGTGCTATAATTTCATTTCAGGCAACAAAATATTAACAGCAAACAATATTCCAGTAATCCTTGGCATATGAACATCATCACAATCTAAAAATGTAATTAATTATAATAAATTATAATAAAAAGGTTGTTAAATCTTTAAAAAAATTAACTAACAAGGTACCAACCTAAAATTATGTGACATAAAAATTCAAATTACCTAAAATTGACAACACAGATATGAAAATAACTGTTGTCAAAATTTAAAAGAAATTGTTCGAAAAATTATTTAATGTATATTTAAAATAAACTCACTTACCATTAAAAGAGAATCAATTAAATATAAAAGAACTAGAAGACTTTTGTTCTAATTGGTTAAACATAATTTCAAGCCGTTGGATCCAATTTTTCTTTTGTTTCTGTTGATAAAACAAAAGCTAGTATAGAGGAGTTTGGCAAGAATTTTTGTTGATGATGCCACGCAAATTTCGTTGCTCTAAAAAGAAAAAAATATTAATGTAAAACTTATTACAGAAAGGTAGTAGAATTTAATATTGTTATAGTGATAGAGAATATTAATATAGAACCTAGAATAAAGTTTCAAAAATGTAAAATTTACATAATAAAAGTGAAAATTATAACATAGCTGTGACGTCATGAAGACAAGCCGGAGAATTGGACGATTGGAGGTGTCTTTTGAAACATTTTGAGATATTATTGAAGTTCCTTAAGTTAATATCAAGAATAATGTCAGTATCATGGATTTTTAACCTACAAAATGAAAAGAACAACAAAGTGATTTATAAATGTGAATTTGAACTTTTACTTAAAAAGGTACCAAATTAATTAGTTAAATTATTTACCAGTTTAAATTATTGGCATTATTATTCTTTAATTTTAATAAGTTTTATTCCATTTGTACAATCGTAAAAAGTCAAATTATTTGTCTACAATAAAGTATTATGTGTTGTCTACCTTTCTCTATCTGTAAAATGATCTGTAATAATCGATATGGTAAATTCAATATTCTGTTACGAGGGTCACTGAAAAAGTAAATGAACTTGCTACTAACCCTTAGGTAGGAGTTGAAATAAAATGTAAACATGTATAACAGTAAATTATTTATTATCAGGTATATAATATTAAAGATATACAATAAATTTAGCTAGCCGGATATAAATAAAAATTAAACTAAATTCATTATATGCAACGTAGGGTTTAAAGTAAATTTACATTACCATTGATAAAGACAACGTGTAGCTCATGTCAAAATGAAAGTTATGTAATAAAATAAACATATTTAAAATTAACATTACAATTGGCTACAAACGTAGGGCTCGATTTGTGAAACAAACTAAATAAAATTGTGAGATTAATAAAAACATACCAATATACACCTTGATAACAATTTCATCCTCCGAGTAGGAAATTCAAACTACCCATTACTTGTATAAAGTAATCTAACCAGATAAGTTTAGGTAATATTACCAATAATAATATAATTAGGTAACGAATTTTAAGCGAAGAGTATAATAAAATGGAAAATCTGTAAAGATCCTCAGATTAAATCATACCATGCACATATCTGTTAGAAATCGTTTAATGATACATAAAAATATGTACGGAGAGGCGGCCTAATAGCCACTACCAAAAAGGAAACGTCATTTGTACATTACCATATCGTGGTCTCTACTCTATTGGTCCTTTCGTTCTTCCCACGTCTAGGAATAAACCATACTAGCAGACACTATACCTTTCGTTTGGCCCGGTGTAAAATCCACTACACCTTTTCTATCGGCAATTTCGTGACCACTGGTGATTATTTTCTCCACCAGCTATTTAGAAGGAGTGAACTATACTCGACGTGTATAAATATAAGGAATAAGGAGGAAGTAAACTAGGTAAATAAGGTGGTGTAATTTACACCGGTGCACACTGCACCAACAGCGAACCAAAGAACCTTGTTGCCAACATAGTACTTTGTGTCCAGTTTACGTGTAAAATTGTTATCGTCCTTTTTGTTTTCTATAAGAAAACACAAAACCTTTGTCATTACAAATAGAATTCAAAAAATTTGGTACAATAATGGAATCTGGTACACAAAAACCCTATTGTGGCATCACTGCAGTGATTGACATGGCATCATGACAGCTCAGTTGGGTGAATGTTTTAAAAGAAACAAATAATTAAATAGTTTATCTTCTTTCGAATATATATAAAATTATATAAAATATAAACCAGTAGCTAGCCCGTTTCAAAGTGAATAATATACAGAAAGGGTCTACCTAGATCCCCAGGCATTAAATTATGCATGTATTTCATAAAAGGTTTACCTCTGTAAATATTTCAAAATCATTTTATTCATTTTATGCCGACCACCTTGTACATAACATTCTTTGTGTTGCTCTTGATGCTATTAAAAACCCATGCTTCAGCGTCGGGCATAATAAACAGAAAAGGATACATATGAATCCACAGGCATTGTCATACAAATGACTTAGTTATAAACCATTAACTAGCCTGTCTTACAGAATATACTGCATAATAAATACGGGAAAACCTATATAGGTTTCAAGGCCATAAATCATATACATGATTCAGTTATAAACCAGTAACTAGCCTGTATTACAGTATATACTGTGTATTTTTTAATGCTGATGGATGGATTATGAATCCATACCTAAAACAAACAAAAATTGCAATTTATAAAAAGCGTTTTACATTTATGCCGCCATTTTGTTCAACATCCGTGACATTTGGTGTCGTTCTTGTTCAACCAGCTTCTTTTTATAATTTTGTTTTCAAGTTTGTAATCCTCGGAGGACGTAGACTTCCCCGTTGTAAAAATGTTCTTCTTTGATTTACCCATTTATGTATTTTTGATAATTAATAATGATAAGCAAATTATTTACGTGTAACCACATGCACGAAAAAGAAAGAATGACGCAAGAGTGTATCTGAATACCACGGGACGGGAGCAGAGGTGGGAAGGACTGGGATAACCAGTTATTTTGGAAACAGTTATATTGAGCTTTCTAAATACTTTTGAGGATATTTAGACTTTAAATACATGGCTACAGAGCGGAAAAAGGGGGGCACTACCTATGATCATTGAGAACAAGGCGTGGAATATAATCATGTAATTACCTTAAAAAATAAAAATATTTTATTTTGAATGTTTAAAATTTAAATTTGAATGAAACTTTTTATTTATAAAACAATTTATAAAAGAAACTAAAATGTTCGTGGAAACTTTAGAATTTCCACAACTAATATTAAAAATAACAATTATTACAAATGTATCTACCTATAATAGTACACCACTGTTTTTCTTGCAGGAAATCAACTACGACAGCCCTAGAGGCGGAGTAAGCGTCATCACCGAGAAGGGCGACAACACCGTCAGCTATTTACTAGTGCAGAGGGCCAGAGACTCAGATTCTGGAAAATACACTTGTAATCCTTCCAACGCTAACCCTAAGACGCTCATCGTGCATGTTTTGAATGGTAAGTGACGGAAATTCAACGGTTTGTCAGACGTTTCGCCCTTCACAATACCGTTCTAAACCCTTTTGAGTGCTAAGATTAGCTCGAAATTCTATGAGGAACTAATAAATAAATGCTGTGATTTATTTTTTTTTACTTTAGTTCTCTTCATTTTTAGAACTTAATATCCATTCAATGTTAAAATCAGGTTAATAAAAAAAATCGAGAATTCAATGCTGCTCGTATATAGTGTCAGATGTAGAAATTAGACTGATAACATAATTACTCAGAAATACATGCTATCAGCAAAGGTTTAATTAGTAAAATTAAGGCACGATATCGGGAACTGGGTCATGTGGAAGATACGTCGAAACAGCGACAACATATTATTTGATAATAACTGGATAATCGTATTATAAATTAGCCAATAGATTTTAGGAAATTTTCCTATGATATTAAAAGATGCAGTGTTTTAAAATAATTGATGTGGGATGAAATACAATTTTTATACAGATACGAAAATATGAACGCGGGCAAAAGACATTACAACATAGAGACAAAATGTTTCATTCATAAAGAACCCCGCACAAATCTTATGGAAATTGGCTCCCGGTCAGATTAGCTGAAATTTGAATATGTTGTTTGTTTCGGCATCCTCAACAAAAGTCTTTATGAGCACAAAGCTCAATTTTGCTTATTTTAGCTCCTACGGAGCTCCAAGGCTCCACGAATTGACCATTATTTACTACTTAAAAAGGCAATCTTCTAGAAAGTTTAGTATTTGCTGCGTTAAAAAAGAAGTACCTTCTTATGTTTTCGGGGTCGCTGCATTCTAATCCAATGTCAATATAATACTTTTGACAGTTGACAGCGGTCAAACAACAAGCAATAATCAAAATTGATAAAATCCACATGTAAGTATCTGTTTTTGAGGTTGGTAAGTTCAAAACTGATGTTAACAACTTGATATTGACAGTTGACAGCTGTCAACTAACTGTCAAACAGTATGTGACAATCAGAATTGACAAAATTCAGGAGTAAATAGATGTCTTCGAGGTTGCAGAGTTTAAAACTAATGTCAAAAAGACGATATTAACAGTTAACAGCTGTCAACTAACTATCAAACAGCATGTGACAATCAAAATTAATAAAATATAGGGACCGTGCGTCATGACTTTAACGCTAACTGGTAACAAAAATGTGAACTTTTTGGGGGGTATTTATTAATGTTTTATACGGCATTTATTGTTTAATAATTATTAATAAAATGAAGTCGGATTATTTTCGTAATATCAATATCGAAAAAACTTGTTACATCCGTGGATGTACAAACACATCACTTTAGAAACCTGAATTTTATTCGATAGTAAAGAAATTTTATAAATTTCCACAAAGCAAAATTATGCCTCACACCCAATGATATACATAATTACAAAGATTGCTTATCCATATGTAAATCAGACGACGAAAAGCGTATTTCACTGGGCAAAGTTTTCTTTTTATCTAGCTTGTATCAATTTTGAGCACTTAGTTGTAAAGAAATCATTTACAGAACCGGTTTAGAAATTAGAATCTTTAGTGTTTTCTTGTCATTAACATTTTTACATATTTAAATGAACATTTTATATAAATATAATTTTACAGATAATGGTTTATTCTGTTGATTAAAACTAATGTAGAATGTTATGAAATAAGAATGACCAATTTGACAAAAATATCACGGCCCTCTTTACAATTTATTAACTATTTCTCATTTATTATTAAAATAAACAAATCATAAATAATACATTGCAATTACTGTCAAAAGAGATTGTAACAAACTTTAAAATATTAAAAATCCAGTGATTTTTTGTAATTTTTTTTAGTGACATTACCATTAAACATTATTCAGAATAATAGATAAGTGTCCAATTACAACTCTTACCAAAGTTGTTTATACCTCATATCAAAATTGTTTACATTACCTTTTCAAAATTGTATTACATATTGCAATTATGTATTTTATGTAGAATTGTTTCTGAAATAGTAGTCTAAAATTATTTATATTCATCTGTTATAAAAATTGTTTAGATCTCTTAATATTATTTAACTACATGAAAACTCAACTTTCCAAATACATAATGACATGTCTTGAAGTAAAACTTTAATTATTTTCTTTTTCTAAAGATTAAAATGCTGAAATTTTATTTTAAAACACATTTGGGCTAGAACGGCTCTATTTAGTGAGCACTAGGAAAGGCACATTGCAACCCGCTTTTCATAATTTTTTTATAGTTGGGTGAGCAATCTATAATATATGTATCATTGAACATCTCATAAACGCCAGTGGATGAATGACATTTCGATTAACATAAAGCTAAAAAGATTTATAATTATTATTATCAATCTTTTTTATTAATTTACATTTTTTATATGTTATTGTAATACTTTTAAATTCAGTGTTACTAAATACCGATATTTTAACATTGGATACACTTGTTTAAGGTACAACTTTACAATTTATTGTCACTTAGCCATTTAATTTTTTTTGCTTAAAATGTATATGCATGTCCAGATTTTAATAATGTTTCACATTTTACGTCATTTTGACCATGTACACGATTGTTTGGTACGGGCCGGTATCTATTTTTAACTATATTTAATATTTAAAAAAATACCCTTCATTATTTACTTGCAATGTTTACCCCATTTAATTCTAAAATTAAACACTAGAGAGGGCTAAGTTCGGCAGTAGTGCTGCCTCTATATTTCACGCACGGTCCCTATAGTGCAAGCATTTGTAGATGTAAACAATATTTTTGCTAGAAACATAAATAGATGGGTTCACATAGATGCTGTCCATCTAATGGAATTCCCACAACTAAATCTGGAATATTTACAAGATTTGACCATTGGGGGTATATCAAGTAAGGCTTGCGTCCACATACGTGCAAGACAAGCTCCAAAGAGACGCAGATGAACAGCGGGTTGCAAGAACGATTGTTAAAATCTCTCGTTAGCTAAAGAACAAATAACTAACTGAGATTAAAACTGGCAACGGCGCTTTTCCAACTGACAGTCTGTCGCTTCACAGCTGATCACGGGAGTTTTTTAAATTAATGAAGTTAATTTGGTAATATTTTTTCGAAAATTAATTACAAATAAAGTAAAAAATGAAATTGAGGCTCAACCTTTACGGCTATGGTTAAATGTTAACACTATCCCTATCTTTTTTCGACATCGGCTCATATTTTTAATAGACAGAAGCAAGGACAGTTGGTTCAGAGAAAAAATGTTTTACACATGAATATAATTTCTTAAAATAAAGAGTGGCTTAAATGAAGAAAAGGTTCCAATAAGTCACTGGAAAAAGAGGAGAATACTCATTTAACTACCCTTCTAGTAGTGCTCAATTAAAAATATGTGATTTGTGGTTTAAAGCAACAGTACTTAAATATAGTTTGTCCCTTTTATATAAACTAAAACTTTTGTCACACCATGGAAAAGTACATTTCTTTCTACTGTACATTATTTTTCAAATAGAAGTACATAATTAAAAATATGTTTAGTTTTTATCATGTGTGCAAACCCCATTTACTGTGGAAATATTTCTAATGTATTTTCTATTTTTAACAGACTTCAAAAAAGAAGTAGGTTCTCAATTCATTGGAATATATTTTTTTATGGATATTTAGCGACAATTCTTTACTATGTTGTCCGATTTCTGATTATTTTTATTTTTAGAAAGGGGGCTCTTCAGAGATGGTTCCATAATATAAATTTGGTAAAGATCTGATGATGGGATTCATGAGAAAATAATCACTCTTCGTTTTTTGTAGTCGTCAGTTTTTTTAAATTAATTTTGTAACTTATACATTTTTCAATGAATCAAAGTAAAAAACTGTTTAAATTGGGAAATTTCTAAAGTTCAGTATCTATTTTTTAGTTAGAAATGGAAATCTGGAGGAGAGATGGTAAAATCTCTGGTATGAGAAATAAATTCACATTTGACCTATTCTTGAAAAACATATACAGTTCCTTTTTGAATCCCTTCAATTTGGGTGCTATATTTCTTTGCTAATAAACTAATGCTAGAATTTATTTTTTATTTAAGAACAACTTTCTATTTGTACAATATTGGAATTTCTAGATTGTTGAGAAAATTAAATAATTATGATATGATAATTAGCTTTTATAGGTTGTGTAATAGTTGAAATTTAGAATATTAAATAATTGATACCATGTATAAATTACACTTATTTACCTTAATATATTTGCTTTCACATTTGTAATTTACAGATTTGTAGGTCATAAATAAAACACCAAATTCATTTTAAAATTTTATTTTTTAGGATTAAATTAATATACACAAAATACATAACATAATAAAAAAATATAGTAAATCTACAATAAATAAACATACATTTAATTTGCCCATCATTATTAAGAATTCTAATTCTAGAAAATAAACATTCAATCCAGGATTTCTTTTTGGTTATGACAGGTTTCAAGTTGACTAGTAATTTTGTGTTAAAATTTACAGTTTGCCTAACGTATTGGATACGTCTACTTTGCCAGTTCCACATATTTTATAAATGTATAAAAAGAAATGGATTATTTCAACATAGGTACAAACAATAAAAATGTTATTACTGATAGTAGTTTACTGCTAAATATTTACTTTTTCTGAAAATAGGCAGGAAAAAACTATAAAATAATATTAAATATGTTTGAGAATGTATTAATACATAACAATTATACGAATTAAAAAGTGTTTAACAATATAAGTAGAGATACCAAGCTCCACAGTTATATGGCTTAAAATTATTTATGCGATCATCTCATGAAATATTTTAAAATACTTAGCAAACACCTATATTACTACAAAGTAATGCCTATTTACAAATAAAAATATATTGCTACCAGGCTATACCACCGTCATAAGCCAAACCCCCATAACTGACAAATTACAAATATTTGAGGTTATTTGACCATTCTGATACTGACCCATTTTTCTTTTTAAAAAGTAAACAAAATACCAG